ATGACATTGACTTCTCCAAGACAGAGATTCTCTGCAAGCCATCTGGCTACCATGAGAGATTCGTTCATGAGGCGATCCACATATACAAACACAGAGACAATTTCAACCGAGAAGATGGATTCTGGCTCAGCAATCATTGGAAGGACGTAATAAACCATTTTGGATCTTAACTGATTGTTGTTCACATTTACGGTGACTTTCAGACCGCAGTCCACTCACTGGCATTAACTGTGTATCTTGTGTTCTCCACAGGGAATGCATTATTTGCTCCGCTGCGGGTCTCCTGCCACCGTTCTCCCATTCACATGTTTCATTGCTTCTACATACTATTAACATTCCCTCCCTTTGTTAATGCTACCCCCTGCCCCCTCCCTTTGGTGCTGCTGATCCTGCATAATGCATGGGCATAATATGACTTTGAAACCCCCTGGCCCACCTCCTACGTACTTTTTTATGAATATGCTAAATTCCTCTTGATATGCACATTCTTTTGTTAAGGCGCTCTTCTTCCACCTCCAACTCAGCTTATATATAAGCTCCTAGCTTGGCAGTGTATCATTCTTCACCTGAAGACGGTTGCTTGCGTTGTAGCCGAAATGTCGTGAGAATTATTTTATTATGTTTTATTTTTATTATTTTATTACTTCCCTTCTACGTGACTTTACCGAAAAAACCAAGAAGATACTGATGAAGTTTATTTTTTTATTTTTTACGTGGTGGTTTAGCTGCTGCAGCTCCTTACTATTAAAATTCCTTCCCTCTATTACTGCTAACCCTACTCCCTCCCTTTCATGCTGCTAATCCTGCATACTGCATGATGCACGGGCATAATATGACTTTGAAACCCCCCCCCCACCTCCTACGCATTCCACAAGTAGTGACTAATCCCATATCTGCATTTCCCATAAATATGCTAAATTCCTCTTGATATGCAAATTCCTTTGTCAAGGCGCCCCCTCCCCCTCCAACCCAGCTTAAATATACGCTGCCAAGCCTGGTGGTGCCCATTCAGACACTGTCTTTCCAACAGACCTGTTCTTCACCTGAGGACGGCTGCTTGCTTTGTGGCCGAAAAGTCGTGAGAATTATTTTATTATGTTTTATTTTATTATTTTATTGTATTATTTCCCTTCTACGTGACTTTACCGAAAGAACCAAGAAGATGAATCCCTGCAGTCACGAAAGCTTTAAATCGAAATTTACTCTTTCCATCGTTTACAGGTTTGTGCTTCAATGGTAAAAACAGTTTTCTCCTCTGTGATAAAATGTAAGAGGCATGTAGTTATGAATCATAGAAGAGCTTTTACAAATTACATTACTCTGGCTAATGTGTTCTACTTCATACACACCAATATTAGGTACAATGTTAGCCATCTTTTCTTGGAGAACAACAAGCACCTCACTTTAATTTTTCACTATGATGCATGCTATCTGCCCCAGCCTTGAGTATCCCACATCATAATCAAGTACAACAAGCAAACCATTTGCATATGAAGTGCATTGCACTCACCATGTGTGATCGTTGAGGCTGGAACAAGATGTTTTGCCTGTAAACTTAAGTAAAACTGAGCTAAATTGTGAGTGTATGTCTCTTCCTCTCCTACCTCAGCTAGGTTATCAGTTTCTGCGGGATGTTCTATATGTAGATATGGCTGTTTTTCATGTAGATGAGGCTGTTCTACTGCATCACTCAGGTAAGCTGAATAAATATTTGTTACGCCCCAGCCCTTGTGATATCTAGATATATGGGAAGTAAATGATGACTTCAATGTAAACTTCCTGCCACATCCCTCGAATGGACAAATAACCGCTAGGCCCTCCTGCAGATGATAATTAAAGTGACCCACAAGCTCTTTAAAGGTTCCACATTCTTTACCGCAACAATCCCAGGAACATTTCAAATAGTCGTGTATTTGAACATGCTTTTGCTCTCAAGTTATGGTGAACTCTTGTAACATGACTATTAAAGGAATAAAAAGTTGAAAACCTACTACCACAAGTTGGAAATCCACAAGAAACTGTGCATTATGTACATTTCTATGCTGTCTGCAGTGTCTTATATAAGCAGTGACTGAGGCATTTCTAAAGTCACATATTGAGCACCTGAACATTGTGTGTGCAATGGCTAATCTTTAATGGCTTAGAAAAGAAGTCTTAACAAACCAGCATCATATTATACACTGCAGCATCTCCACAGCAGTGGTTATCAACCCTGGTCCTGGCAGCCACAGTCTAGCATGTTTTCTAGGTCTCCCAAAATGACCAACACCTTCTGAACCGAGAAGAGAAATTTAAATGGTCCAATTAACACTAATTAGTTAAATTAGGTAGTTAAGCCCTCCAGGAACAACACTTTGCAACCCGTTAAAATCACACTTTATTAAACTGTAGGCTACTTGCGTTTTGTTGAGGTCCTGGCCTTTGTCCAATTGTTTTTTTTATAAATAAAAAATAAAAAAATTTAGTCCTGTCGATGATAATTTAAGTATATGTGTTTTATATGCCTTTACATTTCATCACAGAGAGAGTCTTACCAGCAAAAACCGAGGAATAGAAATATGGCTGTGTGTTGAAAATTAAGTTGCTCTCAATTTTTTTCCCGCCTTTTCCTCGAGCTATCCCACAATGCACTACTCCGTAATATAACGGATATTCCGTTTAAATTATCGTTACAGTAATTTTTCCGTGAGCAAATACAGTATTTTCTCATGTAAAATTACGGATATTTTTTACAGTGCAGGTGCTTAGTTTTGGTCAGTCTCATATTCAGGACCGACCTCTTAGGGGCATGGTCCAGGTTGAGCATGACAGCCTCCAATTCCTTCCCAGATTGAGCAGCAGTAACGAGATAATGAGCACACACTCATTATTAACCAATAAGGTCATCAATCAGCCTCTCATTGAATCTGTTCTAGATGGAAACTCCTCTGGTACAACTGTAATGTAGCTCTCAGAGACACCGTCTTGTTCTTTGATAGATATTTATTATGAATAAAGTCCGCTGACAACTTAACGAGTAACCGCGAGTGACTATATACACTTGGGTAATTTAAATACTCTATTCTGAGACAACGTAACTCCAGCCCTTCAAGACTACATGGTGCCCACTCCAGGATGATGAGGACGACCCGTTCCAAGGTGACGACGGTGACGATTCGCCACAACAACACCCGCGAGGTCTGGTTCGCACCGGCTCTTATCCCTCTCATGACCTGGCCACGCCCCTATTCCCGAACTCTCGCTCACCACACCTGGCCCTGTCAATCTCTGCGCTTATTACACTTTACGACCGTTGGGTCCCATGCTTCCCCTCACGCGACCTTGTCAACTCAACCACTTAGGTCCCACATTACCCTAACATGACCCTGTTTGTTCCGTTACGTTAATTAGTAACGATGGTCCCGGGGAGCTGTACTGTCCCTACATCACCCCGTATTGTCCTTACATCACCCCCCGCTCTCTTAAAAATATAGCCGTCCTGGCTAACACAATTTTAAAATAACCTGTCTCAGGCCAAACCATACACTTAACACAAGCAACAAATAACCAATGTTTTAGGACCGAAGAGCAGGAAAGGGAACTTACTCCTCAGAAGAACAGTGCAGACAACCATAACAACAACAACGCCAAAAATTTGTACATCACATGCAACACAACCCCCGCGATCGTCACGACAAGCAATGGACATTTCGAACATGCGGTCGCCTATCAACACACAACTCAAAAACATAATTTCACAGGCGATCCGTCACCGAAATATCAACAGCCTTGACGAGTCCTCGATGCCGGCCCATCTCTCCGGGCGGGTTTTTGGCCTTCTTCAGCCAACGACGGCTTGGCCACCAGCCCCGGGGGGTCGAGGTCCTTGGAGGCCTTCACGGGAGAGGCTGACAGGTCCTCTGCTGGTGGCCCCTTGTGTGTGGTGGGCCTTCGGGGTCAAGGGCTCGAGAACTACGGGTGGCACAACATATTTTCCTCGGCATCCAATTACTTCGGCCAACCGCCCCGGCCTGTTCAACACGCCAGACCCTAACCGTGCAGATACTGGGAATGAATTATCCATTCGGGGACGCACGTACGGCTTTAAGCGCGACGGGTAGACAAACCAGTGGCGGCGCTATACCTGCACTTGTACACACTGTGGCCGTCTAACTTCAATGATTTCCACCGGCCCTTGCCATGGCCGGTGCAATTTGGGGGACATGTGCAATGGCACCTGTGGACAGTGCAGCCATGCTCTATCCCCTACCACCCATGTCAATACGTGCCCACGACAGTGCACGTTCTTTTCTTTAGTGGCTTGCCCCCTGGCAGTGTTTTCTTTAGCTGTCTCATGTGCTTCAGATATACGATCCAGCGTGACCTGCAAGGTTGCTGGCAGAGAATGACTCTTCCTTCAAGAGGACAGACCCAATTGGACATCATTTGTGGGTTCACTTTCACGACCAAATATCAGGAAATACGGGGAAAATCCCGTGGAGGCATGAGGGGCCATCCTATATGCCGCCTGGACCCCAGGGAGGTCCCAATTTGCCTGCGCCGCATCGACTGCTTGGCAAAGCATCGATGTTAGGGTTTTGTGAAGGCGTTCTACCATGCAATCTATCTGAGGATGGTAAGGCGACGTCTGAATCTTCTTTGTGCCTAGCACGTCCCACACTTCGCATAACAGCTTCAATGATAAGTTCTTGCCCTGGTCCGTAAGGAGCTGCTCGATGGCATCTGAACATAATCCTGGTTGGTAAAAAAATTTATGGGCATCCTGCTCAAAAAATCTGTGCACAAGAGGCAGGGCACAGCCAGTGTTTTTGAAAGCAACACCAGCCCTGACATCTCAATCTCCCCCAATCTGATGTTTTATTTTTATTATTTTATTACTTCCCTTCTACGTGACTTTACCGAAAGAACCAAGAAGATGAATCCCTGCAGTCACGAAAGCTTTAAATCGAAATCTAAATAACGTTGTCTTGATGTATTGCATTGTGAACCTAGAGGATCAAATGTGCCAGGAGCACAGAAAGGAGCAACTCAATTTCTATTGTGAACAAGACGGGAGCCTGGCCTGCACAGTCTGCACCATTGCAGGAGACCACTCCGGACACAAGGTCATCGCAGTGGAGACAGCACAACAGACAAAACAGGTGAAGTGTCATTTTCAGCTGCAATCCATATCGTTACAACAGCTTGGGTTTCATCAGAGCTAAACGGGACTTTTCAGCGAGGTTAGAACCGATTGGCACGAAAGGTCTCTATAGATGAGGATACTGAGCAGTGTTTTCACCTTCCCCACACAGGAAATTATCTGCCTGGAGAAGACAAAGAGAGAGAAGAACAAGGAGAAGGTGGCATCATGGACACAGCAGCTCAGGGGCACCTATGCACGTACGCAGGTACAGAGAGAGACACAGACACGTGCAGCTACTGATAGAGACATAGAGAGGTGCAGGTACAGAGGGAGACACACAGCTGCGTGTCTGTTCAGATCAGAGACAGTTTTCTCATCTAAAGTGTGAATGCATGCAGGTGGACAATTGAGATTTGAAACACAAAAGCAAAATGCGGTAATGCGCCAGTTCTGGGTTCCCACCACACAATTTCTAATGAGAAGCCGCACATGACACATGTGCACATCTGCTGGGGAAGACGTGGCTGAATAAGCTGCTGCCATGCATTCCCGTTTCTCAATAAATACGTTGGTATAAAATAAAATAAATCACAATGTTTCCGGCCGCAACACAGGCGGCCATCCTCAGGACTCGATTATGTGAACCTTTTTAACTCGTAGTCTGTTTAAAGCTCTAACAGATGTGTGAAAACCCTCCCCGTAGAGGCGAAAGCTTAAAATCGAGATTGAACTGCCTCTATGGGGAGGATATTCACACATCTGTTAGAGCTTTAAACAGACTACGAGACAAGAAGGCTCACATGATCGAGTCGTGAGGACGGCCGCTTGTGTTGCGGCCGAAACGTCATGATTTATTTTATTTTATTTTCTACCTAAGTGGCTTTACCGAAAGAACCAAGGAGTATGGATTTCTGCAGTCACGAAAGCTTCAAATCAAGACCCACCTCCATGTTCAGAATCTAGAAGTATGGTAATAGATATTAGCTGAATAATCCGACATGGCATTGTTATTCGTGATTCAACAATGCATCATAATTTCTGTCTGTATAGGAATCTCTGCGTGGGACCAAGGAGCGGATCCGCCGAGAGTTTGAGCGCAGGAGGGAGAAGTTGAGGGAGGAGGAGAGGGAGGCGCTGGAGCGCGTGGACGAGGAGGGCCGCTCCGTGCTGTCCCGGATCCAGGCGGACATCGCTCGCTACGAGAACAGAGCACGGGACCTGGATCAGGAAATCACCGAGCTACTCTCCGCAATCAATGTGCAGGACCCACTTTCCTTCCTCCAGGTGACTGAACTGCTGTTTACTCACACCTTTTACTACAGATTTTTTCTGTCTATCACTAGGTGATACTCGACACTTTTTGAGACTGATATGATGTCTATCAATTTAAGATCAGGGTTACTTTCTTTGTTACATGGATGATCCCGTTTAGCCAGTGTGGAGCAATCAGTTTCAAGGACAATGCATAAATTATCAGTGTTGTTTTTTTGTTTGCATTTTGACTGCAAGTATTGTGGTTAATGTAAACATGATTCCTTGCAAAAGGTTTCAGTTTTGTCGCCAGAAAAAAGGGGAAAAACCCTATTATTATATTTTGGTACTGGCAAAGGAGGCCTCATGATGCAACTACTGGAGATGTTTAATACATCTGTAAATTATAACCAATCAATTTGCAATTCATTCTCATGATTAAATCCGGTTCAACTTCATGGCTGTCAGTGCACATCCTTAATGACCAAGATCAGGACCCAAATACACTCGAGATCTGAACAAATGCTCATACAGAATTTTACTGATTGTAATTTCCAGTGAAAGAACACATGTATTTTCAAAATTTGCTTTGTTTTCAACGCAACTGGCTGGTAAAAAAAATGAATTTCCATTTTTGTCGCAGTGATGATTTGATTTAACTCTAATTGATAGTATATCCACACGATCTGACTCAACAAAACTAATTCTAAATCATGTCTGGTAAAACATGATGTAATGACAGCTCAAATACTAGAGTAATTAAGCGTTATTTAACCATGTTTTAAGAGTGGTTTTGTCAGCTCTTAAGGCCTGTCAGTGTCCAGTTAAAGACGTCCTATATTTCACGATTCTGTGTTTGAAGAGTTTTGTTTAAATAATTGCTGATGTCTCTAAATACGGATTAACAGCAGATAACTGTGAAGGTGGGACAACTGCTTTGGATGTACATTTTAATGTAAAATGTGGGTTTGTGTTTTCAGCATCCCATGCATGAGAAGCTCAGGTCAGTACCAACCCAGACTCAAACTCTAACACTGCCTACCGTGGTGAACTAATCAGTGAATGATCGTGATGTTTTTTTCCTTCTAAATGTAACTTATGCATTCGATGCTGTGTGTCTTATGCTGTCTCTAAGAGGCCCGGACCCTCATGATACGATATGCGTCCCATACTGTGTTTATAAAAAAATAACTAATGCTATCAGTCAAATATTTGTTTTCTTAACACAGAGAAACTAACACTATCATGCTTACTCACTAACACACGAAAGGCATAGATACACAAAAACCACAACAATCGCCATTTGCCACGAAGTGGCGGTGATGTCACCACAGCGCTTGTGCCAAGCTATGTGCATTTTAAGGCCATGTAAAGCGTCAAACGTCTGCTGGCAGGAGGTGAAGGGACAGACCCAGGTTCCATGGATTGACTGACTTAGATGACTGGCAAGTGCACCACCTGTGCCCCCTACTGTGTCAACTTGCCGTGTTTTTGTACCTGGCGCTTCGGTCATTGTTGTGAGTGACACTCCTCTGCCGTCCGTTCTTGTTGGAGGATGACTGCCTTCAACTGCCCAGTAGCATCCTTCACGAGCTTCCTCTACAGAGGCCGATCTTGACACTGCTGGTACCAGTCATTGGAAAGTCTACTCGGCTCCATATCATCTTGTACCACATCATTCCATCTCTTCTCTAGCCCGTTCTGTGCCCATTTATTCCCCTCTATTGACCCGAACAAAAGCTGTTTTGGCATGCAGTGGCTGGGCATGCGGGCTACATGGCCCAGCTAATGCATCCTTGCCTACCAGAGGAGCTCACCAATGGGCCTATGTCCAGATCTTTCAAGGATTTGTGAGCTCTTCACACAATCCAGTCTGGTTAAACCAAGGATGGATAGTAGGCAGGCCTGCTGGGATTTTTCTTACCTTTGAAAGAAGTTCCAATAGGGTGGGGTCCACTTTCTGCAAGCATAGAGAAGGGAGGGCATTATTCTAGCCGAAAATAACCAAAGTTTTGAGTCGGGTGACAGACCAGGTAGCTTCTACACACCCTCATGCAGCCGATGAAAAGTTACCACTGCTCAACTGATTCGGAGTGAAACCTTTGCTGTCAATCCAGAGCTGGTTATAAGCACACTGCCTAGGTATGGATACCTTTTTACTCTATCCAGAACTGCCCCATCAGCAATACGGAGTTGATGGGGTGGAGAGTGATTGATGACACAAAATACCCAGATAGGTGAGGGGAGGGTATATTGATTGGGTCATGTAGCCTACATGGCCAGCTATTGCATTCCCAAGCAATTTATGTTTGGCTGGATAGAGGGGGATAATCGGCCCTGGCAAGGGCTAGAGAAAAAATGGGCAGATGCGGCACAGATGGTTGTGGAGCTGATTTGACTTGATGATGACCGTGGCCAGCAGTGTCAAAATCGGCTTCTGTGGACAAGGCTTATGAAGGATGTTACAGGGAAGTTGGAGGCATTCGCCTTCCAGCAAGAATGGAGGGCGGAGGAGCGATGCTCACAACACTGAGTAGAGTGCAGGGCGGATTAAATGCAGAAAGTTGAGAGTCATGATCAGACGTGGTGCATCGACCAGTAATCTCTGTTCGCAAGCCATGGCAACTGGATTTGTTGCATGAGCTGCCAGCAAGCCTTCGACACTTCACGTGGCCTCAAGGTATTTCTAGCCTGGCACAAGTCCATGGTGCCATCTCCACCAATTTAATGGCGAAGAGTGGATGTTGTTGTTTTGATAATCTTAAATCCTCTTTCAAGTGGTCCCTTGTTAGACTCGGTGTGTCTTGTGCTGTGAGTGCAGGAGCTCGGTTTCTGAAGAGACTCAGGATGATTCTGGTCCAGTCTCTTGTCACCTGGACTTGGCAAAGGTCATCTCAGTTGGAGGCATCAAAACGAATCTCCTGGCTGTTTTGTGTAGGTCTTTCTCCTGCACTCGTCTATTTTTCCGCTTTTATTACAATCAGAGTGGTTAAGATAGTACTACTAGGTAGGCCGATGTCTTCGTAAAATCAGGTGTGAACGCATTTGGAATTTCTGCTTTTGCAAGGGAAAACTATGACAAATTCAATCAGAGCAACAGGTCCAAGGGCACAGAATGAAATATTGTAAATGGCACTGACTTGGTCCTCAAACGACAAGAGGTGCAAAAAGCACGGAGACATTCGTTGCTTGAATGCAAAATGTAACTTTGTAAGCTGTAAATCAATAACGTTCATATCGCATTCATTAGCCCTCTTGTGGCGCTTATCGTAGGGAGAACATGTTTATGTTGTGATAATTATGGCCGCTGAGTTGGAATTAAGATAAACGGAAGCCAAACAAATGTCACGTGTTGCAGATATGCAAAACAAGATAACGTGGTTATTGTAAAGGCATGCAACTCTCACACAGCAGAACTTGAGCAATTTGTGCGAATTGGTATTAAACTATTGAAATAAAAAGGTGAGCGAGATGGATGCTGAAAGCAATTGCATCACAGCACATCAACCTTCAAAAGCAGAACTCAGGGGGCAACATAACAAATGTACAGCTCTTCATCAATCCATTGCTGAATGAAGGCTGTATTATGCCGTGTCAGACAGCTGATTTATTTAACGAACCTTACCACACTCGTCAGTGTAGGTTGGTGAAGGACATGCCTAGGAATACTTAATATAATTGGCCACTCATTTCAGCCGTGGCGGGGAATCAAACTGCAAAATTCATCTTGCAGTGCACAAACCGCAACATCACTACTCAATCACAAGCTCATTCTGCAAGTAAATTAAACTAATTGGCCTTTGGCCACACTACACCATATCATTTTCTCTGTCAGTTACACTGGTTTGATTTTCTGCTTTCATTTCTCAAGTCAATAGGGAAGTTAACAGTTGAAGCACTCCTCTATATGTGGATTTTTTTTCTTTTAAGTTGTTATATTATGATTTTGTGGGTTTGCAGTTTTTTGGGCTTCCTGTTTAAATTGGAGATCACTTATTTAGAATGTCTCTTTCACCCTTCCTGATTTGCCCTCCATCCCCAGCTGCTTAGGCCCAGCCTCCTTCATCTTAGGGCCCCTCCCCATCCTGTTTCGTCCTTCAGACACAGGTTGGGCTTGTTTGAGTAGTGGCGAGGGTTGTAAAAGGTCTACGAGTATTCGTGCACGGCAGCAGCATCTCGTGGTGGGTGGTACACAGGTAGGGCTGCGGCGACTAAAATCGCTCTCCGATAATAAATAATAAGATGACTACATTTCGATTTAAAGTATTCGTGACTGCAGGGATTCATATTATTGGTTCTTTCCGTAAAGTCACGTAGAAGGGAAATAATAAAATAATACAAATAAAAACAATAAAATGATCACGTTTCGATTGCAACACACGCAATCATCATCTGATGGTGATTGCTTGTGTTGCATCTGATGATGATTGCTTGTGTTGCAATCGAAACATCTGATGATGATTGCTTGTGTTGCAATCGAAACGTCGTGAGAATTGTATTGTTTTATTTTTATTCTTTTATTATTTCCCTTCTACGTGACTTTACCGAAAGAACCAAGAATAAGATGACTACAGTCCGATTATTCACATACACCGAACAATACTCGCGCATTATTACATGAGAAATTAGTGGGGTAGGAAGAGTGAAGCTCTGGAGAAGGACTATTGATGAATGTGTTGGGTATGGTAAAGTTTGATCAAGCAACCACATTAACTAACAGTGTAGCGAGGTCTTTATCCAGTAGTGGATTGACAAGGAGTTGTAAATCCATAACATTATGAATGTATATTACTATTGGATGATGTTACTATACATATTATATAAAGAAATGCTGTTCTATTATTAACATTAGTAATGTTAATTTCTGAGAACCAACTGGAGCAAATATGCAAAATGTGTCTACATTTATACATTTTGTAATAAAAGGACTCAGACACTTCTTGCTGACTCCGTGTCCTTTATTTGGGGTTCGCGTTCTCCTTCCCACACGGCACTCCTCCTGAGACTCTTCCCTGGCAGCCCCACATCTGCCTTCGCTCCCGTAGCCTTCCACGCTCCTGCAGCTCCGCTGCAGGCTCTTGGTGCAGCCCTCCGGCTGCCCCCACAGCAGCTCCATCGCTGCTCCCTGTTCCTCCGTGCGTGGCCTTCGTGGCCTCTATGGCTATCTCGCCATCTCCAACCTCAATCCTCCACTCTCTCTTCCACCCCGCTGGCTGGCGCCGTCATGAGCCCCTCAGCCACCAGGCTGAGGCACGGCGACCACCCAACGTGTTCACCACCCTTCACTCCCCCGACTGACCCAGATAGCTTCCTGTCTCCCCGCTATAACTTCTCCCCCACGTCACCCTGACTCCTCCCTCTTGGATCGTCATATCCGCCCCGCCCATTTACGCCCGCATTACACTACCCTCCCCCGTAGAGAAAATCCCAGCCGTCCTCGGCTGAAACAGAACAAAATAATGCGGGCGAAGGCATCACAATCAGGAGTCCCCCAGACACAACGGAGATTATAACAACAACAACACAAGCAACGAAAGGGGAGGTATCAGGAACTGGAACAGAACAACAAGAATAATAATAGCACAAAGCACAACAACGGCCACCAACACGCAAAAATGGCACACGCGCACAACCCAGAAATGTGGTGTCTCAAAGCGTGTCCATGTTGTTGTTCCATCCGCTCGGCTCAAGTCCAACATCAAAGAGCAAGTGGTAGAGCAGAATGACGAACGGCGCTCAATTGCTCCTTCAAGTCCTCATCCAGCTAGCACACCAGGTAACACCCAGTGCGACGGGAGCTGAAGAATCTGTGACGAGAAGGAGAATCCAATCCCCTGAGGCACAGCACAACAACGCACATCCGCATGTCGTACACGACAGCCACCCGGCCTCAGGGTAGTGGAGATGATGTAAATCCGGCCCGCTTAAAAAAAAAACCCCAATAATTACCCAAATTAACCGCGATCGATGCCCCAGTATTTACATTTTAACAACAATATTATTTACACGTGACAACAACAACAACAAAAAAATTCTGCTCTTACCCACCAGCAGTCCTCCCTTGAGGACCAGCACAGACCTCAGACGTACACAGCATGTACCCACAGTCACTCTCAACAACCCACAAAATGCCTAATCGCACACCCTCGCGTGGAGAGAGCCACGCTCCCCAGCGGTGACGTTTAACTCGCCGTAACCCTCACCGTGGTCGTCAACCCACAGCAACATCCATTTACCATACTCTCGGCTAGTGCCATTTCGGGGAAGAGCAGCACTCGGCCATGCTCCTCCCTTACTATCCCATCAGCGATGGACACACACCAGCCTCGTATAGTCTGACGCTTTATAGCCCAGGGAAGGTTCATCCCCCGGCAATGCCAGACCCCATGGACTCCCCCCACGGGCAATGTTCTCTTATAGAGACAATAACACCCTAACCCAGATCCCGTGAGCCCCCGGCACACCAGGTTCAGTCTGCCACCGCACAACTGAACCACGACTCCCCGAGCCATATGAGCACATGGCCCATTAGTTTAAGACATACCACGGAGGTTTCGCCTCCGGGCTGTCAGGTCAGCCATCAGCCATAGGCCGATGTGACCACAACTCGTGCATCACCCAATCAACAATGGCAGGCATAACAGATGGAATATTTGCCCCACCTCGGTTTATCCCGCGCGCTCAAAATGGCGTCCCCCTTCGCCCAGCGCGTTCGCGCAATATCTCGCGCGCACTCAAAATGGCGGCCCTTTCCGCAAAGCGCATCGTCGCCATACCCCGCGTGCGCGCAAAATGGCGGCCCAACGTGCGAACACGTGGCCAGTTTTCTCCATTCGTGCACCCCAGCTTCCCTATGCTGGGGGTCACAAAATGCATCCCCCGTCTTATTGTAACAACCCCAACAACGATAGACGCACAGCCCCAGCTTGCTGCGCGCAGCAGTCATATCGGGGAATTTTTAACCAATATTTTACCAACCACATTAGTTACACAACCCAACTCGCAAAGCAACTCGTGGCTGCATGCAATCAACCAATACACGACGCCACTTGGCGCCCATTTACGATCCCATTAGCATTAACATCTAAGCCACCCACAACGGCGTCATCGCGCACCCTCATTTTCAAAAAGCTCAATTACCCCTATAATATACACGCAATCTCGTGTGCACAACACCCATACAACCAAATTTTAAGGTCCCCCTCTATAATATACACGCAATCTCGTGTGCACAACAACCATACAACCAAATAATTGGGTCCCCCTCGAATTTGTTACCAATTTCCAACAGGTACGCACAATATAATAACAATCTCAATTCCAATAGTCAACCACTGCATCGCACCCCATAACCATACAGAACGGTATAACAGCACATGCAATCAGCATATCGCGATCACACGCGTACATTTAAGCACAATAGCAAGCAGATCTGCAGGCAACCAACACACCATTAATCCTGTCGTAACTTTGCAGCAACAACACAATTATTCTCTCTCTTGCAACAATCGCATTGCACACAGCACCTCGCAGCACAATACACCAAAAAAAAAATATATATTTTTTTCAATTAAGCCCATCGCACAAGGTAGCCCACAAATAATACAGCGCAAGATACCCGACGCTCCCAAGTTAATAATTAACTTCACCATCAAGATAACAACTCCACGCAGCAGCGCACACACACAATTTGACACTCAGCAAATACAGCAGACTCTCCGTCCATTCTCAACACACGCACACACTTATATTGACACCAAGCAACAAGCAGATAGCGCGTTCATCGTTATTACACACACATACACACAGTCCGAACCGCGCTCCGCACAATCGAGTCATAAGAGAAAACCAAAATAGCCCCCCGGCCCTCGAAAGATGGGTGAGGTGTGTGTTAAGGCCGGGTGCGTATCGTTATGACTCGCCCGGGGCTGCAGCAAGAAGAAGACGGCAGGGTGGCAACTTGAGACGCCTCGCAGAACTCGTTCGGCGACTTGACGGCTCCGTTGTCACGCACCCGAGCCAGGACGGGAAGCTCCCGCCCCAGCAGCTGCAGCATCGGCGTCTTCTCCTCGCAGCACCCCCTCGAAAAACAGCAGCTCACAGCAGGCTGCTCACCCCGCGGCACCTCCAGATGGCAGCGCAAGGCTGCCTCTCCGCCGCGATGTTGAAGATGGCGGCGTCCTCCCGCCGCGGTGAAGACAAGATGGCGGCTTCCCGCCGTTTCTCCCCTGCCACGCCCAAGATGGCGTCTTCGTGCCACGTGGCAATGGCGCTGGCAGCGCAGGAAAGGCAGAGGCCTGCGGATCACCACCGGGCCTCCCCGTCGTCGTCCTCGGCGTGGTGAACTCACACAGTTGCGCCAGCACGATTTTCAAGGTCCCCATCTGCATCACCATCTGTCTCCATCGTAAGTTGGCGTCCTCCGGCACAGACAGGTCCACCGACGCGTCGACACCTTGCTCACCCGGACCCGTACTCGTTCCAGAACGGATCTCCTCTTCCATCGCAGGCAGGTCCACTGTCTGAGGAAGGTCGTCGTCGTCTGATGATGTAGCAGATGATGGCGCAGGAATATTCTTTTTTTTCTTCTCTCAGTTGTTTTGAGATGCCGTTTCACTTCTGACTCCAGTGTAATAAAAGGACTCAGACACTTCTTGCTGACTCCGTGTCCTTTATTTGGGGTTCGCGTTCTCCTTCCCACACGGCACTCCTCCTGAGACTCTTCCCTGGCAGCCCCACATCTGCCTTCGCTCCCGTAGCCTTCCACGCTCCTGCAGCTCCGCTGCAGGCTCTTGGTGCAGCCCTCCGGCTGCCCCCACAGCAGCTCCATCGCTGCTCCCTGTTCCTCCGTGCGTGGCCTTCGTGGCCTCTATGGCTATCTCGCCATCTCCAACCTCAATCCTCCACTCTCTCTTCCACCCCGCTGGCTGGCGCCGTCATGAGCCCCTCAGCCACCAGGCTGAGGCACGGCGACCACCCAACGTGTTCACCACCCTTCACTCCCCCGACTGACCCAGATAGCTTCCTGTCTCCCCGCTATAACTTCTCCCCCACGTCACCCTGACTCCTCCCTCTTGGATCGTCATATCCGCCCCGCCCATTTACGCCCGCATTACAATTTTAAGAAAAAAAACCGAGATGTAATTTCCCAGCTTGTGGAGTGGTTGTGGATTGCAGGGATTCACAGATTTTTGGATTGTGAATATTTCTATTTCTACTGCACATGTCATTAGATACTTTATTCATATAATGTTTTTATTCTTATTTGTATTTGGCTTGTTTAGCCTGGAAAGCCTCCTTGAGTCTCATGGCTTGTTTCAGGAGAGCTCTGCCAAGTTTCTGAAGTATGGGGCGATCAGTACACATGTTTTATGATGGTCCATACTCATTACTATACATATGTAAGGGTCGACGTGATGTATAACCTATTAACCATCTAATTATCGCGAGCCGCCTGACGAATTGAATGACTTTCCGTTTGAATACGGGGCGTTTCTGTGGCTAGATATTTAAACTGCAGCTCCAACTCGTTAATTAGTAAGAAATTATTTTTACACTTATTGTTATACTACTTGTTGTATTATTATATATTTATTATCACTATTATGCATATTTTACTGTCATTACTACAGATGGACACGCACCAACTCTGGATATAAACTCAGTCAATAACGATGTCCAGGTATCCTCGGATCTCAGGACGGTCACGTGGACCAATGTCTCCCAGGCGCGTCCCCATCACCCACACCGGTTTGATTCATGGCCACAAGCCCTGTGCTCTGAGAGCTTCTCATCGGGCCAGCACTACTGGGAGGTGGATGTGGGGGGCTCGGGGTCTTGGCGGGTTGGAGTCGCCTACGAGACGACCCCACGGAAAGGGAGTAGTGAAGCCTGCTCCCTGGGAGGGAACAAAGAGTCTTGGAGTTTAAGAAAAAATAACAACAGATACTCAATGCGCCATGGAGGGGGAGGGACCTCACTGTTGGTGCCGGAGCCTCCCCAGAGAGTTGGGGTTCATCTGGACTGGGACGCAGGGCTCCTGTCGTTTTACAGCGCCGACTCCATGGCTCTGTTACACTCGTTTCACCAAAACTTTGCTCAGTCTATCTATCCTGGGCTGGCAGTTTGGGGTAAGGATGGTAACGCAGTGACAATTGTGGATCTGAGCCATGTGTCTTGACCGAGAGGAATGTGGATGTGGAAACTATAAAAACCAGGACCGGTATAAACCCTATGAATAATCGCAGCCTTAGTTTACAGCTCAGGGATAAAAACAGGCAGTGACCGTAACGACAAATGGGTTTGACCTGAATGCCCCTTTCACTTTTGATTGCTGTAACAAATTAAGTTGCTTTTGTATTGGTATCTGATGTTTCTGTCTTTGTTTCTTGGGAATCAATTTGTTTCTTGGGTTTATTGTGATTAAAATAAATATTGTCGTAAAATCTTAGTCTTAGTCTGTTCCTGCTATTGGTGTCATCATCCATTTATTAATCTGAATTCTCAAGTATAGTAAGTGGATGGTGTCAGCCCGATCACTAATCACTTAATTGGGCTAAATTCACTGACACTTTACTCATGGTATTGAGTGACATTAATTAACTTATAAAATGTCTGCCCTGATACTCATACTCTTAGTTCTTTCGGTAAAGTCACGTAGGTAAAAAATGAAATTAAAATTAATAAAAAGAAAACAATAAAAATCACGACGTTTCGGAGGCAACACAAGCTTCCGTCTTCAGGTGAAACCGTCACAGCAAAATATCTGTACCTTATATAGTGGTTAAGGGGGGAGGAGCCAGGAAGGGCAGCGGGGGAGGAGGAGTTGTGAAGTGGTCAATTACTGCTTTTGTTATACTGCTGGGTGGGTAAATGAATTAGATACGATTAAGCCGCTCATTGTTATGCTGTTTGTGCGCAAGTCACTGTGGGATGAATGGACTCGTGGTCAGGGACGTGTTGCGCAAGTAACTGTGGATGTACATAATAGAAAAGAAGCGGAAATGCCCATGTTTATACCAGTGTTGGCTGACAATAAAGAGTACTGTTAAACGTTAGGGATGTTAACACTCGGTGAAGTAAAATAGTTCCTGTCAGATAAGATGGTCCAAAAGTGTGTAATTAAATCTTTTTTGCATGGTTGATAACATCTTTCCAATGATTACTAAGTTTGTACCCATCATCACGGTTGAAATTATGTCTGTGTTTGTATATCTGAATGGCTTCGTGTACAAACCTTTGATGGTAGCCAGAAGGCTTGCAGAGCACCTTAGTCTCGGAGAAAACAATCTCATGAGAGCCCACCGAGTTGTAGCAATAATCGGCAACGGCGGACGACTCAATTTTGCCGTGTTTCAAATCTGACTTGTGCTCGCGGACACGATCAGAGACATGACGTTTCGTTTCCCCAATGTAACAGTCACCACAGCTGCAACTCAATTTATAGACTCCAGGGTATTGCAAGTCAGGGATGACATCCTTCACAGATGGAATTAGATCACGGAGTTTATGTACTGTACTGAATCGGACTTGGATCTTATGTTTGTTTAGAATTTTGGAGATCTTTTTGGTCACGCCTGCTATGTATGGTAACGTGACAGTTTTGATCGGAGTTTCAAGTGGCTGTTTCTGTATGGTGGGAGAAACAGCTTGGCGGATGGTGCGTTCAGAGTATCCGTTCATCCTGAGGGCCCGATGTACATGTCTCAATTCACTGGCCAGGTGGTGTTGGTCAGAAATGCCATGAGCTCTGTGGTATAGCGTTTTGATGAGAGAATTCTTTTGAGATGGGTGGTGGTGAGAATCCGGTTTCAAGTAGGAATCTGTGTGGGTGGCTTTCCTGTAAACAGAATGTCCCAAGGATCCGTCAGGTCTCCTCTCAAACAGAATATCTAAGAATGGTAGTTTGCCATCTTTCTCCACTTCCATGGTGAATCTGATGGATGGATGTCTGGAATTGATGTGGTCCAAGAAGTGGTTCAATGCTGGGAGGCCATCTGCTCTGACTAAGGATTAAGAGGTAAAATGACATTTCCTTATGGATATATTTTCATGACAATATCCAATTCAGCGTGGATTTGTTGAGCATCTAAATGTGTACGCATCTGTGCAGAAACAGCCGACATTTGTATACAACGAGCAGGCTTATGTGAAGAAGACAAGGAAGATATTGAGCCCTTGACTTGGATTTTGGTAGGGAGTCAATTGTATGGATGCATGGGAATGAGGGCAGCAGAGGATAATGACGCTCAGCAAATTTGGAATCTAACTGCGGGGGTAAAAAAAAAGAGTGTAATCATATATAATATTAATATTTTCAATGAAATGAAAATAATATGTTTGTATTTTACAGTTTTTAAAATGCATTCAAGAATAAAGTGGCAATCTCGCGTCTTCAGTTTTCACTAAACTGTTGATAATCCTGACTTAGTTGGTTGTCTGAAAAAAAATGTTACTTAAAGGACCCAGTCAACAGACCTAGAAGTCAAGCAGGTTTGAGGCCAGTCAGTACTTAGATGAGTGGCCACCAAAGCATTTTAAATGTTACATGCGTGGGGGGTTGTGAAATAAATAAATAATCGAATTTCATCTGTGTGGTTCGTGTCTCCAAAGCAGAGGTCGCAAACGGGTTTTGATTCCTTACCCGTACCCGGCCGCACCAGGGTCGCAAACGGGTACCCGTACCCGGCCGGGTACGGGTAGCCGGGTATCGGGTAGGGTACGGGTATCGGGTACCCGGTTGCGACCTCTGCTCCAAAGCAACCAACATCCACATCAATCCCCTGTTGGTATTTAAAGCGGTAAAAATCGCAGTTGTATTATTTTACCATTAGATGGCAGCATAGGACAGATCCACATATACACTTAACACAAAGAGATGTTTAATTTGCGAAATAAAACAATTACTATTTTTATTTTACCAGGTAAGGCTCACCGAGCTATATAGCTCTTTTTCAGAAGCGACCTGACCAAATGATAGCTAAACGAAGTGGCTTATCACGTGAAAATGCATATCCGCCAAAAATTCTAAATACATGTTTTTAAATGTGAAGGAAAAACCGGAGGATCCGGAGAAAACTCCACATGACCACGAGGAGAACATGCAATCTCCAAATATACAGCAGGCATCAGGGTCGGGATCGAACCCACGACCTCCTGTATACCAGGCGAGGTAGCTAACATCTCGCCACCGTGGTGCAACAATAACAACACGAGCAGGAGCACGCAGAACTGCGGTAAAAGGGTAACGAATAAGTACGTGTTATTGTGGGGGCCGACGTCCACCCCACCGCCCTCGCCGGGCAGGTAGGGTGCAACGTTTGCCCCCTCCACTCCCTCCTCCCCCTCGTCGGTCGCCTCTCGCCGGGCCCCCGCCGATCGGGTGATCGCCCCCCCCCCGCGCCAGCGCCCTCTCTGGTGGACATAGCTCACTGGCTGGCTCACCACCGCACGGGGTTATCCCACACACACGCTAACGATGCGGCGGCGGCGTAAACACGCGCGAGCGTTGGCGAGCGGGTTTAACGCACCCCGCCCCCACCCTAATACTCGCGCGGCACGGCTGCTCGTACGCGGCCGTCTATGTTTTAATACACGCGCGCGCCTCGCACACACACTCAAATTTACCAACACCACACCGACGCTGCAGCCCTGCGATCGCTCTCCCGCGCACATCGTCACTCACCCTAATGCGGCGTACCGCGGCACGACCCCAGCCACGCCTGCAGCGATCTCTAAGCACCTGCGCACACGCTGTAGATCGACGCTCATTCTCTCGTGCACACCGTCCCCCCCGCACCATCGCACCACACAAATTGCAGACACCACGCCGATGTTCTACCCACACACACAGAGATCACACTGCACCGATACTCTGTACTAACGTTTATTAACGGCTCAAATACACACTACCTGGAGGGGGAATATATTGCGAGAAGAGCTTAGCCTGAGCCTGTCTACGAACCCAGTCACTCAAGCGTCCTACCACGTACCAGAGGTCGCAATCGGGTACCCGATACCCATACCCTACCCGATACCCATACCCTACCCGATACCCGGCTACCCGTACCCGGCCGGGTACGGGTACCCGTTTGCGACCCTGGTGCGGCCGGGTACGGGTACGGAATCGAAACCCGTTTTGCGACCTCTGCTACGTACCTCGAAGCTGTTCTCATGGCATCGCACGGACGCTGTGAGAGTCGGAGGGAGAAGGGCAAGAGAAAACTTCACCTATCACTGCCTCGTAGCAGCACTCGCTAGCATCACACGGATGCTGTGAGCGGCTCGAGGAGGCAGGACGGCAGTGAGTGGGTCTTGACGGCCCGGAGGTTGAAGACAACTGAACTAAAATCGTCCCCGGCTACTGTTTTTATTCCCTTAACTTCAAAGGCCCAGGGTGACGTCGTACCGCTCAGCCAATCGTGCGCTTACATGCGCCGTCTACATGGAGTGCCACGGGGTGTGCTGCTGCTCCGCTCACCCATTGTTCTCCCGTGCTCATTAATTCTCACCTACTGGTCTGCCCTTTCTGCCTAATATTTCACGCTCCGCTTTTCCCAATGTCGTGAATATTTCATTGCGGTTGGCCCAGTCAACCTTTTCATTCTGTGCCCATACAATTTTAAGCCAATTTAATGTAACCTGTCCTGTGAGGGTCGGCCAATCTCCTGGCACCGAGCAACCGTGGGACACTCCCTCTAAGGGCCCATTCAGATTAAAATCCGATGTGCCAGGCAAACCCCCGCCAGGACTCTACGTGGGTGCAAGTGCTGCATGTGTGCGTGTGCTCAGGGTGGGGGGTCGTGGCACCACATCATCAATCCCTCTCCTATGCCTCACCAACATCACGTGACATCATAACCCACCCCCTCTCACCACTCCCGCGTCTCTTGACGTCATCACTCCCTGTCCACCTCACCCGTGTCGCGTGACATCACACCCCCCCCCCTCCTCACCAATGCACCCCAATCAAGTGTGACTTCATCACTCCTCTGCACCAACTCCCCAATGTTGCGTCACCCCCCCCTACTCACAACATCACCCCAATTTTGCCGGTACTCCTCTCCCCCACAGCCTAGTGTCTCTGAGGTCATCAGCCCCTCACGGCCTCACCACTACCTGAGGCCAATCAACCCCTCCCCTCCCTCTCCCCAAGACAGCGTGACGTCATAAATCCCCTCCCACTCACTACCCGGGCAAACTGTTTTTTTTTCTTTTATGTTACCCTACAGACAGACGGACAAGCGTACAGGCGTGTCTCGCTTTACGAGTGATACATTCAACGTTAAGCAAAGATTCGTGAAGCGATCATCGTTTTCCCAAGGACTCTCATGTTAACGTCTCAGTTCCGTCTCAGCCCTAAAATGTTCCACTCTTGAACATCTTTTTAAACGGGATAAATACAAATTGTCATTTTTAAATAATTGGCACACCCACCGCTCCCTACCACCCATTAAAGTTCCAACTTGAGGCCCCACTCTCCCACATGGCGAATCTCGCGCACACAGAACAGCTGGTAAGCAAACAGCTGCAGGTTATGGTGCACCACCTGCCACTACAGAACACATTCGATCTATGGGTCTCTGGTCGTTATGCGAGCAATTGCTCGTTTTGCGAACAAATTGGTGATCTAAATTCAAATTGCTTTGTCTAGCAAATTTTCCTATGAAGAACGCTCGTTGAGCGAGAAATGCCTCTAATATGATGTATTGTGTTGAGTGAGTGGCCTTACTGACCGGTAATAATGGACTGCATGAATGAATCACTAAATGGTATTTGACTGTCATCTAACTAGCAGCGAGTACTCGGCCTACCCCATCCCTAATCAATTAGAGACCAGCAAATCACGGGGAATGCGAGAGGATGGGGGAGCGCACAGGAGTCGTGGGTAGGTCAGGAGGCCGTGTCCTGTGAGAATGTGGGGAGGGGTGCGAGAGAAGGGTGCTGGTGGGGGGGGTGCTGGGGGGGTGGGTTTGAAGTGACCTTGGGGATTCTCACGAAAAAGGAGAGCATCTAGGGGTGGGGAGATGGGCATGTTGGGGGGTAATAGTTTTACTGCCAGCACCGGTCCAGAGTTGTAGTCGGAGTCACGAATTGTGAACATTTCCAGACATCGTTTGGAACCCAGCAGTGCCTGGAACGGTGTTGGTGCGCGCCACGTGAGGGCGCTACCACTCCACTGCAGCGATTCGCGGGGCGCACTGAATAATTAACGTGGCAGCATTCAGTCTATGTTACAGTGGAGCTGATATAGCAATTATAATGGATACATTATTTAATTAGTGTCAGGATACTCTTGAGCAAAGGGAAATATTTTACATATATTTCCAAATATCAAATAATTTACTCGCCATGAAGAGACTTGCATTTTACCTCTTTCATCAATCAATACATCTTCACTTTACGTGCAAATATCGCCCTCACTAAAGGAGTCATCAGTGCCCATTACAGCAGCACGGGACTGGTAGAGGGGCATAGAGCAACAGGAATGGAAAAATAAACTCGTCACAAACTCAGCGGCTAACACCGATTGAGCGAAATAAAGTGCAACTGTGTGCAATGAATAGCATAATAAAATGAATAAATAAATAAAATAAATAAAACGTCAACAAACCGATTTCCGCCCCCTTCTTAACTTCTGAATGTTATGGGAACGCGAGTCTGCATAGTTGCGTCGCGTACAGATCACGGAGTTCAGAGACACTCGGCGCGTTTCGGAAGTCCGGTGGCAGAGTGAAGGCTAGCGTCGGGTGAACAATCCTGGTACAGTTTGGATGAACTTCTTTATTCGCACCAATGCTCCACACCCATTGTATATCATATCAAGTATTGGGGGAATCACAATTATTGAGAATATATACTTTTTCATCAAAGAACCAACGAGTGACAGAAACCTCCAAATTTAGTTGAAATATAAAATTGAAGAATGTGCACACATCAATGAAAATGGATGAGACGAGCAGTGAGTGGCAACGCTGCTGAGCTGCTCGCAGCCCAGCTGCTTGAGTGGAGGAAGAAAGGAAAGTTTCGGGACCAGAGTTTAACTTGAAAGAGTCCATTTGGAAGAAAAAATGTATGCTGACTGCCATGAGCAAAATAAGTAAATGCCCATTTGATACTATACTGTCCTGGCAAAAGTTCCTCTTAATTTGAGAGATTAACGATATTTCTAAGGAAAGAATGCTTGACGAGGTAATATATTTTCCTAATAAAAACAATAGTGTTGCGGTATTCCTGTGTTATCTGACTTTTTTAAACCATTCGAAACTCGCAGCTCAACCCTTAAAGCCGCCCTTGAATGACAAGCGGCTGTGAAAAAAAGTTTGCGTTAACCTGCAAACAGTCGTCTGTGATAATACTGTAAACATTATTAAATAATAAATAAACAATGCGGGTGTCGAATTTGGGTGAGGGATGAACGATGTTAGACTCAGTTGGCCCGATGCAATGCGCGAACCACTGGGCCACTACTCCATCCGCAGAATGCAAATTTACATCCAATAAATTGGATTAGCAGTTGTGTAATCTA